TTTTTAGATATCAGTTTTATGATGTCCATCAAACATTATACACAAAACCAGTTTGGAGAAATGTGAATCCAGTTATTGAACACAAGATCCAGTTTGTTGCTCTGAACATATCGAATGAACTGTTGACTTATTTACAAAAAAATGCTTTGGTTATCGATTTGTGGGGACTACAAGGTATTTTGGTTATAGCTTTGTGTGTGTGTGTGTGTGTGTAAACAAAGCAGCATATGCCCCCTGGGTGCTACACCCCCCATCCCCCCACTTCCATGGCATGCAATCAAGCCCCCCACCCCAACGCAGAGGCGGACATAAAGTAGTGAGTGCTCTAGTGCATTAATTTTTTGGGGCCCCCAAGGGTGGCCAAAAGATAGATCCCCATCTGCCGTTCATCTCCAACAATGTTTTGACAGCTGGGGCTCTACCATTTTCCCATGTATTTAGCACTGAACAGTGTTTGTGTATTTAAATGTAAGCATGTTTGTGTATGTAGTATGTTCGTGTGAATATAGGGGTGTGTTTGTATGTGGAGACGGCATTTTAATGCATTTACTGTCAGTGTTGTTTTTTTAATGCAGGTGTATGTTTATACATAATTTTGGTGTTTATCAAAGAGGTGTGTTTGTATGTACTGTTGAAGTTTGAATGCAGGGGTGTATTTGTGTATAGTGTTGGCGTTTGGATGCTGATATGTATGCACACATACACATGCACTGCCATACACAAACTGAAACACATGCAGATACACATATACACAACCTGACACACATACAGATCTACAGATACACAACCTGACACAAATGCAGACACACAGTTCACACACTGACACACATGCACACATACAGATACACACACTGCCACCTACAGACACACAACCTGAAACACATGCAGATACAAACACTAACACACAGCTACACACACTGACACACATGCAGATGCACACATTGACTACAAACAGATACATATATATATATATACACTGACAGGGCCGGACTGGGGATACGAAGCAGCCCTGGAAAAAAATCTATGCCAGCCCCATAATTCATTGTGCTGTGTAGGGTGTTTATATATATATATATATATATATATACACACACACAATTGAAATAGTTGGCTGCACTCTTGGATTTCCTTAAAATGTAACTTTTATTGAAATATTTAAGAGAAGATCACTGTTTCAGTCCCTCTTGTGAACTTTCGTCATGATCCTGATGCAAGTCCACAAGAGGGACTGAAACGTTGATCTTCTCTTAAATATTTCAATAAAAGTTACATTTTAAGGAAATCCAAGCGTGCAGCCAACTATTTCAATTGCCTATATATATACTGGATACTGGAGCCCTGGTGATGCAACAGTATATATATATATATATATTTATTTTTTTATTGATACATTTCTTCTTCTTCTTCAAAATATTAGTTCTTTTAGGGTAATTAAATTATATAGTAACGCATACTCACACACAGACACAGACAATCTTACTGATGCACACAAATAGGCTCATTGACAGACAATCTCAATGACACACACAGACAAGGTTACTGGCACACACAAATTTAGTACAGACAAACTCTATACACAAACAAGCTTACTACAGACAAGCTCACTGTCACACACACGCTCACTACAGACAAGCTCACTGATGCGCACACACTCTCCCTACAGACAAGCCCAATGACACACACGCTCCCTACAGAAGAGCTCACTAACCCACAGATTCACTACAGACAAGCTCACTGACATACACATACTCACTACAGACAAGCTCACTGACACACATATGGTCACTACAGACAAGCTCACGATCACACTCATGCTTACTACAGACAAGCTCACTGTACACACATGCTCACCACAGACAGGCTCCGACACACCCATGCTCCTTACAGACAAGCTCACTCACACACACACACACATTATCCCTACAGACAAGCTCACTGACACACATACAAGCTCACTCACTAGCAGGCACACACACACAAACTCACTAGCAGGTGCACACACACACAGAGGCTCCCTCACTAGCAGATGCGCGCACACACACACACACACAGAGGCAGACAGTCACTGACAACGAGGAAAACATCCACACACACACAGACAGGCAGACAACCACAAACACAGGCAGACAGCCACACACTCACACACACAGGCAGACAGCCACACAGGCAGTCACACACACACACAGGCAGTCACACACACACACAGGCACACACAGACACACAGACACAGTCACACACACACAGTCACACACACACACACACTGGCCTCCGCTCCCCCTATCTAATACACTGCTGTAACCCCCTCCACCTAATATACTGCTGTAACCCCCTCCCCTAATATACTGCTGACCCCCCTCCCCTCCCCCAATACATTACTGACCCCCCTCCCCATTTTACTGAGCCCCCCCCTCTCTCCCCACCTCTCCCAATACATTTTGACCCCCCTCACCCTCCCCCTCCCCAATGCATTGCAGCCCCCCTTCTCCTCCCCTCCCCAATCCATTTGACCCCCCCCTCTCTCCCCTCCCCAATGCCATTGCAGCCCCCCCTCTCACCTCCCCTCCCCAATACATTTACTGACCCCCCTCCTCCCCTCCCAATACATTACCCCGACCCCCCCCCCTCCCCTCACCAAGCGCATTGCAGCCCTCCCCCAATACAATAGGTCCCCCCAAGCCCCTTTATTCTTACCTTTCCAACAGCTCAATGTTGCAGGAGGGAAGAGAGGCCGCGATCTAATCTGTGTAGAGCCTCCGCCGCGCAGCCGCCGGATGTGACGTCATGTCGTCATTTGCCGCTCACATCCGGCGGCTGACAGGCTGACAAATATCTGTGCGCTCGCACAGGAAGCAGCAGCGGCCGGCGCAGATGTGGCTGTGGCCGGCCGCATAGGGGAAAATAATTTTTTTTTTTTTCGTGTCTTGTGGCTGAGTGCAGCCACATGTCAAAGCGGCCCCAGGGCTGGCGGCCTACCGGGAAATTTCCCGGTATCCCGGTAGGCCAGTCCGGCCCTGTGTCTGTTAGTGAGTCTGTTTGGTGTCTGTTGGTGAGTGTGTGTTTGTCAGTGAGAGTGTATGTTTTGTAAGTGAGAGTGTATGTCTGTCACTGAGTGTGTCTCTGTCAGTAAATGTGTGTGTCTGTTAGCTAGTGTGTATGAGTCTGTTTTTGAGAGTGTTTGTGTGTTTAAAACCCCTTCAGCACTTACCTTTCTCCAGCGCTGGACTCCCTTGGCACTGGGGATCCCTCCACACCAATCCGCCTCTCAGCTCTGAATGCGCATGCGTGGCAAGAGCCGCACGTGCATTCAAACCGCCCATTGGAAAGCATTACTCAATGCTTTCCTATGGACGTCCAGCGTCTTCTCACTGTGATTTTCACAGTGAGAATCGTGGAAGCTACTCTAGCGGCTGTCAGTGAGACAGCCACTAGAATAAACACAAAGTCTGAACACTAGTGCAGACTACAGGGCGCCACAACCACTAAGATAAATATCAATATGGTATAGAATAATCCCATAAATGCAGAGTATACTGTGGAAGTAAAGGGTCCACTTTATTGAAACAATAATAGCCAAAAGTGCAACATGCACAAAATAACAGTAATAAAAACAATAATAATCAAAATCAAGAACCCCTATGGATGGCAGCTAAAATCATACAAGTAAAAGTGCAAGTGCCAAGTACAAAAGTACCAATGGTACAAAAACAGCATAAAGTGCACAAATACTATGAGATGTAATACTTGTAGAAAAAGACTGCTATACCAAAAAATGCAGGGATCTTGAAGGTGCTCAATGCTCAACGCGTTTCGTCGATGTCGACTTCTTCAGGAGCTTGCTGAATTGCTGTTGGTCCCGTTCGTCTTTTAAATCCGCCGGTCTGGCCGCCATTAATTGATCGCGCATGCGCAAACCGTACCGTGCGCACCTTCATACGTGATGACGTGCGACTGGTCGGAAGGCGCATGCGCAAACCAAGCTGGAACGCAAATAAACTTTATGTATAATGTATGCAGCCGCAAAGTGAGCAACAATCCACTTGGAATGCTCATAGCAATTGCGGTCTGAATTTACAGACCTGCCTATATACAATCTGTTATATTACATATGTGGCATCTTAAATTAAGATGCAAATTAGGCTGGATACAAAAAATGATGATTAATAGGGCCAACAAGCATATAATATGCAGCTATAACGCTGTGAAAAATTAAATAATTTATTATATAATTTAAAAATATATAAACACATACATGTGTATAAATATAAATATAAACAGAAAAATGAAAAATTAGGAAAAAAGAGGAAAAAATTAAATTAAATGAGGAAAAAAGCTTAAAAGCCCATTTGCATTGCTACATTCATGTTTTGAATACATACATTTTGCTAAGGCTAACATAAAAAGCTGTCCTTTTAATATCATAATAGATCTTATATACATTAATATAAAATGTCAAGAAATCAAAAATTCAATTTATCTGAATGTATACAAAGTTCAAGATGAGAACAAATCCCAGCGATATAAATTTAATCAAAAGCCATATTTAAAAGAGAAAGAGATAAGTAGCAAATATACTAAAAAATATGTATAATAAATTATAAATCATAAAACCCTATATATATACAATCCAAAGAGTAGACATAATTTTCCGAAGAGTAGACATAATTTTTCTGTTGTTTCATTCTTCATTGCTCATAGAAAGGGGATATGAAAAGAGAATATAAAAAGGAAATATGAAAAGGGGATATAAAAACGACAGATTAATATGTGCAAATTAATCAATAAAAACAAGTATGTCAAGGTCTGTATTGAGGCCCGAGGGAACCGATGATTTCATCTTGTATATCCATTCGGTTTCCCTCATTGCCAACATTTTTTCGGTATTACCCCCTCTCCAGTGTGGTATGATCAAGTCAATTCCAATACATATAAAATCTTTCAAATTAAAAACATCACAGGTGGTGCAGTGTTTAGGAACACTGTGTTTCATGTTTCTATTATTAATCCCATTGAAATGTTCAAGTAATCTAACATGTAGTTTTCTAATGGTGCGTCCTATATACTGGGTGCCACATTTACATTGTAGTAGATATACAACATTTTTGCTTTGACAGTTAATAAAATGCTTTATTTTGAAGACCTCCTTAGTTACAGTGCTCCTAAATTCTATGGTTTTATTTGCTTGAAATTTACAGGTGCTGCACCTACCACATTTAAAGAAGCCCATAGGTTTCTTAGATAAAAAGTGCTCCTTCTCTTTGCCCTCTTTAGGTAATATACTAGGTGCTAAAATATTTTTCAAGTTATTAGTTTTCTTATATAGCACTTTCGGTCTTGATGGTAAGATCTTTTTCAGATACTGATCCTGCAATAGAATGGGCCAATTCCTTCGTATAGATCTTTCTATTAAATTCGCCCTTCCATTATATTTAGTGAGGAAAGCAAAATCGAAATCATTTTTCTGACTTCTATTATTCATGATTTTATGTTTCTTTTTGTCTACTAGGAGATCTTTCCTTTGGAAACTTTCTACCTTTTGTTGAGTTTTGGATAAAAGATCCTCAGGGTAATTTCTATCTTGGAATTTCTTGTTTAAAACCTGTACTTGTTGTTTAAAATCATCCCTATCAGTACAATTTCTAAAAATCCTCATATGTTGCCCCTTTGGGACATAACCAATTCCGGTTATGGCAACTAGAAAACTCAATGAATCCATTCCCATCTGTAGGTTTAAAATAGGTC